TGGTTGGAAAAACGTTACTAAAATGCAGTAAGAGAGAGCTCTGAAAACCCAAACCCACGTGTCTCGTTCTGAACCTCAAGTTCTCGTCACTGCTGCAGTCTCGTCTCTGAATCTTCTCTTCCCCTGGAGTCCAGCCGGTCACCGTGGCCTGGGGCTGCGCTATCTGAAATGATTCGAAAAGCTGGCGTGGACGAGGGGCGTAGGGCCCAGCTTGAGCGCACTCCGGCGAAAAGAATGTCGGCTTGTCTTGGGCACCTTTCTTGACTGCTCTCCACCCCTTCTCTCTCCTGTGTTTGCTGCATTCACCCCCCACCAGGTCCCCAGAGCCCTGGAGATATGCGGCTGCAGGGTCCTTCCAGGACCTCGCTCCCTGGCCGCTCTCCCCTCCGGCCTGTTCCGGAGCCCGTGCCGGCCACCCCTGCCCACGTGCTACTGGGTTAATGCAGGTAATGCCTGCAGATTAAAACAGGGTCCTAACCAAACAGAAGGAGACTAATGAAGGAACCCAGCGTTCAGGGTTCTGGGTCCCATGGGAGCTGATGGGAGCTGCAGAGAAGCCTGGTGGCATCCATTGACCTAAATACATAGTCTGCCTGGCAGAAGAGCATTATTTCCGAAGTTAGATTGGCTCCATATCCACTGACAAGCTGCGCATGACTGAGCAAGTTACTTAACCTTTCTATGCCTCAGTTTCCTGGTATATAAAATGGGGCTATTTACAGTACCAAGCCCAGAAGGGTTAAACACCATATAAATCATTAACCCAGCCTCAAATACATTGTGCGTGCTTAATTAATATAAAATAATAAGTAAAAATTCAAAACATCACTATTATTTGACACTTAGTACTAGCCCCCTGGGGCTGAACTCTGGCTGGCAAACACCATCCTCACAGTTTTTCATCTGTCTGAGATTTGCCACAACTTCTTATGCCCTCCTTTCTCTTACCTGTAGCCCCTACTGCAGTCTCTCTCCCCGACTTGCACTTTCTCTCTGTTATCCCCAGGAAACCAAGAAGCCAGACTCAAACGCGGTAGGAAAGAGGCCTGCCCTGCCGCCGGCCCCCATCACCCCCCTCCCATATTCTACACTGACATATCAGTTTACCGTTTCAGCAGGACCCACAGACCCCAAAGCAGGAACGTGGCGCGTGTGTGCTCACCAGGGCAGCCCGTCACAGAGCTTCCTCCTGCACATACCATCAGATGCCTCGATTACAAAAGAAACCGGGAGTCTCCATAAAGCTCTGTATCACCAAAATGCTTCCTTTCAGGGCTAGAAGAGTTTCACAGGGAGCGTATTTTCCTTCTGAGCAGAGAACCCAGAAGCTAGTGGCTGCGCCTGTGGCTTTTCAACAGCTGAAGCCAATCCCTGGACATTGCCAAAGCGTCTCCTTGTTTCCTGGAGAACTGAGCTGCAAAATACTGGTTTCTATTAGGGCGTGTCTCGCACTCTCTGTGCCGCCAAGCTTTCCACTTTTATAGTCTGCACACTGGTAGATTTTCCATGAACAGGCTCAAATTTATTCCCAGGCAATGATGTTTAGGAAACCCAATCTGATCGTGAAGATTGTTCTGAGGCAGTCTCAGAATTTTGTGCCGTGTAGTTGCCCAAAAAGAGTATTTCTGATGTATAAGAAAATAATGTATATTTTTGGCATGGCTTAATATGTGTGGGGGCAAAGGGTATTCACTCACTCTATATGTTTTCTTGGACTGGGTGGTTAGGGGAAACTTTTAATTTTTAATTCTTCTCTCTTCTTTATTTCTGTACTCGTACAAAGAATAGCCCAAACACCCACCTACACAGGCATTTTACATAAAGGCTTGGAAGCCAAGTGACCGAAGAACACAACAAAATTATGTATATAGTGTTTTTATAAAGATTTACATGTGAATTCAAGTGGGAGCCAATAGTAACTCTGGAGGAAAATAAACCAGTTGGAGAAAGTGCTAGTACAAAGTGTGACTATAATTTGGTTTTGTTGATAAATAAAAAAGCAGGTGCCATATTTTTTAAAGAGAAATGTAACGTAGGAAATAGAGCTTTATGTTTACAGACTCATAAATATTCTCTCATCATCTCCAGAAACTTACACATTGGCTACAGCCACCACCACGGCACTCAGTTCTACATGGGAGCCCTCTTCTCCCAGGCGGCTTCTCAGGGGGCCTCCCTTGGGCCAGCCCCACCCTCCAGGCCCCTCCCTCCATGAAGCCTTCCCACCAGAACTCTAAACCACATGTCCACGCTCCAAATCGTACACTAGTTATTGCTGATGCCACCCAGTCTTGCAGATTCAGTGGCGGGGGGGGGGGGTGTTTTGTCTCCCCAACATGGCTGCAAGCCTCTTGAAGGCAGGACCACATATAATTCCACTCCTGTATGCCACCAAAGCACCCTGCACCACTCTGAACACAAAGCAGATGATCAGCCAATAAGCTGTTGGATTGTGTGCATTAGAGATTTGGGTGCAGAGCTATGAGGTCTAGAATGGCTAATTCATCTGGTAATCTAAATTGCCCTAATGAAGTCTAAATAAAGTTGATAGCGCAACACCGACCCCCTACACACTGCTGGCAGACAAGGCTGGCACCCCTAATGAAACGCTGCTCAAGAGTTCGGAGGCTGCCTGTGGTGGATGCCGAGATGTACTGCCCGGGTTCTCCCTTGGGGAGGAAGGCCCGAACACACCGGTCTGCTCATAGTGCTGCCTTCAGATAGCCCTCAGCAGGAGGGAACAGCTTCGCCCAGGGTCACACCCTGTTCCCTGGGATGGCCTGCATGTAATGACAGATCATTATATTACCTATAAAGGCCTGGCCCCAACTCAGAACAGTTCTGAAGGGCTATTCCAGCTCCAGAGCACAAGGCTTTGCTGGGTGTGCAGTGCAGTCCAGTGTCCCTCCCCTTCCCTTTTCTTCCTTAAGTACTGATCCCAAGAGCAGTCTCAGATAAACCTACTGCATGCTGACCTGCATCTCAGAGCCTGCTTCCTGGGGAACCAACCTGCAACATCATCCATACATCTACCCAGCCAGCCAGCAACCTACCACTGTGTTTAGGGCACATGGGTGGTGGTGGTCGGAGGAGATACAGGTGAAAAAGACCCGGCCCTTGGCCTTAGGGAGCTAACAGTCCAGAAGAAGAGATGAGACATGTACAGGAACAACCATAAAGCACACAATGGAAAGTGGCTGGTGTCGAGAGAACAGAAATAGAGATGAGGCCGAAGTATAATCCCAGGCAAGGGGTCAGGAGTCTGCATGCACTGGCTCAGGTTGTGGCAATCGGTGTAAGTATTCTCTCTTCCCATCTGATCTTGAGCCCTGGAGGACAGGGTGGACTGTGTCCTTATCTCTCTTCGCATCTCCTATACTTTCCAACACAGTGTCTCAGACAGTGTAAGAAATCTTAAAACAATGAAGTAAAACCAAACACAGAAGGAAAGCTTTGGCAGTTCCACTTCACTGGACAGGTTTCTGGCTATCTATCTGGCCTTTTAGTGCAGAGTTCTCAGGAGGCTTGTCAAGATGCTCATTTATTTATTACGTCCATAAAAATCTTGGGAAAGCACAAGACAAGGTCTTGATGCTCAGAGCAGCTACAGCCCACTGAGTGGACAAGGCAGAGGCCCCTGAAAATGTCCACAAACAGGAACAAGACTAAGGGCCAAGTGGCACATCATCCCTAGGAGGTCCCTGCCCTCAGTGGGCCAGTTCATCGATTATCGTCTGTCAGTTGACAAAGGTTACTGAACAGCCTCCTCCAGGAACCTAACAATGAGAATCAACGAACTCCAGAACCTCACTGTCCCCCAAAACCAATGCCCTGTGATGACTTATTGTCTCCAGGGGAAAAGTATCCCCAAGTCAAACATCACTAAGTGCCCGATGGAAAAGGGCCAGGAACCCATCTCCTGCATTTCCCTGCCCTCGCCCCTACTCCACACGCCGTCTTCCTCCACTCTCCTTTCACTGCTTTTGTACAATCTGCCACCCACTTCTGATGGTTTCTCTGAAATGGCATTTGCATCCTTCCTCTTCTGCCTCATCTTAGCGCCTAGGGCTACCACCCCCTCCGATGTTGTGGCCACACCCTGGAAGCTGAGGCTCAAGCCTAGGTCATCCTGCACTTCATGTCTGTCCAATGTGGCTTCTGCAAGCCCAGCTCTCAGCGGGTCACATCTCTGCTCAACAGTCAGCACAGGGGGCTCTCTCATCATCATTAGGATCAAGTTATTAAGACCCTCTGACAGCCGGCCCTTCTCTACACTCATCTAACTTTATTTCCCAGTACTCCCCAGTATATGTCCTCCACTCCGGTCCCCTCCCTTTTATTTGTGCCTTTGCTCAAGTGGTGTCTGACTTCTGAGACACCTTTCCTCCCCCTGGCCACCAGTAGAATCCTATGCTCTCCTTGCCACTCTGTTCACATGGACTGGGCTTAGGACCTAGGGCATGAGGAGATCAGGAAGGGAAATGTTAGGAGCCGGCTGTTTTGCCACTTCCTTTATTGTCTTTACGTTCCCTTACCACATCTGCACTGCACGGCACAGAAATGCTTTTCTGCAGCACCCACCCCGCCGCAAGGATGCCCCTCCAGCTTGGCTGCCCTGGACCAGCTAGCTGGGAAGGAGCTTGTCTGCCTCAACTGGGTAGACTTCTTGGTCTGACGAGCCAGAAAGGGAAAAAGCTGACACTGCTAACGTTTACTCGCTTGTTGCATCTTTGGAAAGACTCTCCATCATTAATACACCAAGCTCTAGGGTTTCTGAGAGATGGATAGTGGCTTTGCCAAAGGAGAGACTGCCAAGTTGGGTCTCTGGAATGAATCCAGTGTTCCATAAACCCTGCCTCTCTCCTAATCGTAGAAAGAACCATAAAACAAGAGAAAAGGCAGAGGCGCTGCCGGCAGATTGACACAGAAGCATCATCTGTACTTGCTGAAAAAACAGAAAATGCAGATCAGATCAAGACAAATCTGATCCCCCTCTTCACCCTCCTATGCAGGGTGTTGCTAGGTCAGAGATCTTCTGGTGCTGAGATCTTTGGAAAAGTTTTTTGAAAGGGGTAAAAAGTAGATGGTCCTCAGAGATTTCCTCATTCCTCTTCCTTGAAGGGAACAATGTGTGTGTGTTTGGGGGAGGGGGGGAGGCTTACACCCTTTTCTTCTATTTGACGTGGTATGAACATGTCTCATCTCCAGGTTACCAGGTGGAGTGAGTAAGGGGTGCTCTGCTTTTTACAACTTTCTGTAGCGCCGGAGGAAAAGGGTGGTGGAAGCAGTACATTTAAAACCCCATCTTCATGCCTTGAGCTGGAAGATGATGAGGGTGAAAAGAGGTAAATTAAAAATAATTGGGCCCGGCCGATGTGGCTCAGTAGATTGAGCATTGTCTCATGGACTGAGAGGTTCTGGTGGAATCCTGGTGAGGGCACATGCCCAGGTTGTGGGCTCGATCCCCAGTAGGGGGCGTGCAGGAGGCAGCAACCGATGTATCTCTTATGTAAATGTTTCTCTCTCTCCCTTCTTCTCTCTTTAAAAAAATTAATTTAGCCCTGGCCAGTTTGGCTCAGCGGTTGGAACGTCGGCTTGCGGTCCAGAGAGACCCAGGTTCGGTTCCCGTGAGGGCACGTACCTCTGTTGCAGTTTGTCCCCAGCCCTGGTTGGGTTGTGCGGGTGGTGGCCACTTGATGTGTCCCTTTCACGTTGATATTTCTCTCTCTGTCTCTCTCTTCCTCTCTCTCCCTCCTGCTCTGTCTGGACAAAAAAATGAAACAATGTCCTTGGGTAAGGATAAAAAAAAAAAAATTAATTTAAATAAAACATTTAAAAATAATAATCAGGGTGTAAAGGGGCCTAATATATGGTGACAGAAGATGATTTGACTTTGGGTGGTGGGCACACAGTGCAATATACAGATCTTGTAACATAGAAATCCACACCTGAAACCTATCTGATCATATTAACCAATGTTGTCCCAATAGATTTAATATATTAAAAATAACCACCCAAAACAAACAAGAAAACACACACACACACACACACACACACACACACACAAATACACCACCCCAGAGAGATTTTAAAAAATCTCATTAGATAATTGTATTAATGTGATAATAATGACAACAATACTAATTGTCTTACACACGACTATGGTTTTTACATTTTACAAGGCACTGGGGTACATTATGTATTTGTATACCATGTAATCCAATCAGGTTATAATAAAATAGCAGGGACCATTTATTGAATGACTACCAGGATCACTTTTCATATGTTATTTAATCCTCACAACCCTCTTGTGGTACTACTATTAATTCCCATTTTACAGAGGGTGAAACTGAGGTTTGGAGAGGCTAAGTAATTTGCCTATCAGGTAGAGATGGAAACCTAGGTCTTTCTGATTCCACGATCCAGGCTCTTGACCTTTTAAGGCCCATCTCAGGGCAGGGCATCAAGGAGGAAGGAGCCCTTATATGGCAGTTCCCTATGAAGTAGGCATGCACAGACACACAAATATTCCAAAAATTCCCACTTGCTCTTCTGTCCTGAGTTACAAACCCATCCAGCTTGCATAGATACAGCTCCAGTTAAATGCCACACTCCTCAGAGAGACAAAAGTCAGGCCCTGTGGGTAACATACCTGTCATTTAACCTGTATCTGAAGCTGCAACAGAGTCTCTACTTGACAAGATGTAGCCATAGCAAGGTGGTGAATTAACATCAAGCTTTGAAGCTTTGTCACGAAGAATACTTTAAGACTGCAAATAATGAGTGAGACTGAATGCCATTTAGCAGAATGATCTGTGACATTCAAATACATGTTCAACTTGTGGGATTCAAGCACACAGAGAAAGAAGAAATGACTGTAGAAAACAGGAAGGCACAGACAAATGGTGACAGCTCACAAGAGCTGGCTGCCTTGTTCTTCATCGGACCCATCTGACTCCAGTGGCAATATTTGCTGTTAGCTGTGCAGTGGCTTTCTGACCCATAAACACATACAGATAGTGTCGGGCAGGCTGGAGGAAGAAGCAAGAAGACCCTTAAGAATACCTTCTCGCCCCTTTCCAAGTACCAACTCTCCCCGGTTCTCCTCCTCCCCTCCTCAACCCCAAAGGAGATCTGCGTGGTAGGAGCTGGGAGAGCTTGTCAGTCCCTGGGATTTTGAGAGAGTCCAGTGTCAGTGTCACTGCCCCCTCTTTCAGTTTTGAAGATGCACTTAGATATACAAAACACCCACTGGAACTTTTAAAGGATGGAGGAGATCCACAAGCCACCTGTGAAATGAAATCTTGGTATTTCACTGTCAGGGAAACATCAGGTAGGCAAAGGGCTCATGTTTATTAATTATATCCACACATACCTACACAAAGCAGGTGGCCCTGGCACACACACAGGAATCCTCATACACAGGCGTCTTGGTGATGCCACCTTTCCCTTCAGCAGCCTCTTCCCTTCCCACCCACCTGAAGGTGTTGACCACAGCCGCCCGGTGAGAGGCTGAGGGGCATGATGCGGTGAAAAGGGACTCATTCCGCCCCTGGCTACTCCCAGGTTGTGAGATGTGGGCCGCCCACGGGAGTCACCTGGCCAGGTGCTGTGCAGATGAAGGGGAATAATACATGTAGGGCCCTTGGCACAGTGCCTGGCGCTGTCCTGCTTGGTTCCAGAGCCTGCCTTTCCTAGCTGATGGTGGTTCTTGTCATTTGGTCCCCAACCTTAGGACACCGGTCTGATTTTAGGAAGAGTGGGGACTAGTCCAGGATCTCGGGTCTGTTTCAGCTGGGTCCCAGCATTCGGGTGACAGGTCTGCTAGACAGGGGTGGCCTTCAGGGTCATACAGGGAGTGGCAAAAAAGGGCACGTGGCGCGGGCGGTCTGGTTTCTGGTGCGTGGAGTCCAGGGCGGCAGGGGAGCCCAGCCGGTGAGGTGGGCAGAGCCCAGCAGTAAGTCGACCCAAGGCTGTGGGTGTTTACCTCCTGTTGCTCAGTATCAGGGAGAGGCGGGGAGGACATTCATTTTTTCCTAAGTAAGCATCCACCCATTGCTTCAATAACTATCGATTGTGAAAAGTCATTGTGAAAAGTCGGCGGCGCCTCTTAAAGGCGAAACCCTGCAGGGGTGAGTCCCCCGCACCCCTGTCTGTGTTCCGGAACCCCTCGGCGGGGACCTCCTGCAAGCGTGTGGGACCGGCGATGGGCAAACGCTTCTGCACCGGCTCGTCTAGCAGCCCCGGGAGCCGCAGCCGCGAGCTGTGTTTTGACCCCTGCCCGTCCACCCACGGGGCTTTTCTTTCCCGAGTCTCCAGTCACATCCTCGTACCGGGTCTCCTGTTCCACAGCGTCCACGTAGCCCCGGGTTCGAGCACGGGGCCAGAGCTCGGAAAGTTATTTCAAAAGGCAGATATGTTGCAACCCTCGCTGTAGCCAACTACAGGACTTGGATTTCCCAAACCCTTCCCCACCCCCACCCAGCTCGGGGCGACCGGAGCCCGCCGAGGGAGCCCTGCTGCTCCGAGAGCTACACGCAAACGCACCTCCTCGGCCTCCTGCGTGCCCAGGTGCGAAGGGGAGAAAGCCCCAGAGCAAACTCGGCGCGGAGCGGAGCAATCGCCAGCCCCGGCCTGGACGGGACCGAGCTGCTGGGATCAGCCTCCCGCCTGGCAGCCCGGAGAAACGCTCGCAGTGTCTCGTCCCGGCCTCTCCGCCCAGTGCAAGCCCTCCCGGCTGGGCGGCCCGACCCCTCGGTACCTGCGGCGGTCACGGGCTCGCCCTCGCTTTGCTCGCCGGAATCCGAATCCATGCTGCGGGCGGCTGGCCAGGCGTCCCCGGCCGTGTGCCTGCTGCGGGGCGCGTGGAGCCGGCGGTCCCGCTCGGGCTGTCCGGCAGCCGGTGCGGTCAGCTGGAGGCGGCAGCCCTGGGGCACGGGTTGGGCAGTGCCAGGGGCAGCTAGGCAGAGGCGAGCGCCTGTGCCCACTGCCCTGCCCGCCGGCCGCGGCGGAGGGTAGGGTGCGCTGGAGGGGAGGCGTGAGCAGGGAGGAGCAGGAGCAGCCGGCGCCCCGCGGGCTCCAGACCGGGTTAAATACGGGAAGGGGTGGGGGGCGGCGCCACTCCTCCCACCGGCGCGCGGACTCCCGAGTTCCCTGAAGTTGTGCGGGGTGGCGAGGCCAAGCCCTTTCTTGTGTGGGTGGCCAAGGGTCGAGGATTCTTAGGTGAAAAGGTGCCTCTACTCAAGTAGGAAAATGTGAGGTTCTGTGAGGGAAGGAGTCTTGGGGGGTAGGGGGGCTCGGGTTCGAGTGCGACTCCACTGCTTGGAGACCTTGGGGAGTGACTCAACTTCTGTGTTTCCTCCCTTGGAAAATGGGGAAAAGGATAGTCTGGAATGTTTTGGGGGGTGTAAAGAAGATAATGCAAGCGAGGGCCCACGAGCAGGGCCTGGTACCCAGAGAGGTAAACCGCGCGAGCAGGTAAAGCTAGCTGGCGGTCCTCCAGGTGTGGGCGGGGCACGGGGACGGCCACCCGCCCTCTGGTGGAGCTGGTTGGAGAGCTGGGAGCCCCAGTTCACCTCAAAGGCAGCACCCGCCCTGTCAGACTCCAGGGACAAGAATTGATTTAAAAACCCTTTCTTTGTCTTTAACACAGAGTGCTAAACTTCCTCAATATCCCCTCCTTTCACTTTCTTTAAAAAAAAAAAGCATTTGTAAATTTATGTAGTAATTAAGAGACTAAACTAAGGGAAGAAATACACAGAGCAGTAGGGCCTCAGGAGATTCTTTGTTATTAATTCGTCACTATCCACACAGCCTTATTGTCTTCCTGAATGATCAAGTCCAACACCTCATAACCTCAGGCCAGCTTTGCATGTAAAGTGTAGTTAGAGAATACAGACTAACTGGAGTGACCCAAACAAAATGAAATCAGGAAGAGCAAGTCTGCCAAGAAGCGCCCTTTACTGAGTGTTTCCTATGTGCACTCCTACAATGACCTAATGAAAAATTTAAGTAGAGCCAGAACTTATATGCGCGTATGCATAACCAATGGACATAGACAACAAAGCTGGGGAAGGGGTTGGGGGATGAGGATGAGGGTATCAAGGGGGGGGGAAAGGAGAAACATCTGTAACAAAAACAAATTAGTAAAGATAATTTAAAAAAAAAAGAAAATGCTTTGTTGGAGGTAAAACTTTTCAGTGGTCTCAGGTCCAATAAGAAGGTGAGCAGGGACTTGAAATCAGGTGTGTGGGATGTTCAGACCCACGCCTTTGGGGCTAGTGTCACAAGTTTGGCCTCTGTTACCTAGGGGCTGCTTCTTTTAGTAAGGCATGGGCTTCTCAGTACGAATAGAGCCCTACTTTGTGCTATGAGAAAATATTTTATGGATGACCAAACACATGGACTTTGATAAAAGTAGGATGGATTTCGATGGAGGGATGGGAAGAGCCCCACCCTAAATGTGCGATCTTGGGCAAATGGCTTGACCTCTCTCAATTTCCTCATGTGTTGGCATCTCCTTCACAGGGTGGTTTTAAGGGAGTAAATGGAATAATGACTGTAGAAGCTATTACCCAATGCCTGGCACACAGTTAATGTTTGATAAGTGGAAAGAGCATTCATTCTTAGATCTAATGGATCCCATTTAGAAAAACCAAATATTTAAAATCACATTTTTAAATGAACAGAAAAAAGTCATGGCAACATTTAGATAAAAGTTGATACTCAAAAACAAATATCTGGGATTATTTCAAAAGTTTGCCGTCATAGCTTTGCAGTCTTAATGAAAAACAATGATGATAGTGTCAGAGAACAGAGCATATTGGATTGAAAAGGCATCCAACTTCCTCTAAACACCACCAAAACATCTGTGCCTCACAGCAGTGAAGGAAACAGGGAAGCTCACTGCTAGAACTTGGTCAACAGTAAGCTAAGTATCAGGAGTGCACATTTATGATACATATATGCCCATCAGTCATCAGATCTTTACTAAATACCTGGTACTATTCAGCCCAGAGATGGGGGTGGGGGGGCTGTTGGTCAAAGTGCTGAAAAGTCTATGGGGTGAGTCTTCAATAAATAACAATTATTCATTGATCTGTTTCTATAGCCAGTCACAGTGTATTTCTGCAAACGAGGCAGACATAGAATGAAAAATTGAATGTGGAATTAAACAATGGAGAAGAGAGATCCAAACCAAATAAGATCTCCATTCCAATTTCCGATGATATGCAATCTGTTGTCATGGGATAGCAAGACAAAAGGAAATGACTGCTGGCATGCATGTGTGTTTAATGAGGAACATTAGTGGAACATACCTTATCTGTCCTCTCCCAGTGTGGAAAAATCTGTATAAGAGAAGGAAGTCCTTAAAATAGCATCCCACGACTATCAGCCCCACGAAAACAGTGAAATCTGTGGTGGTGAATCTCCTTTACAAACCAATCCTAGTATATTTCTTTAAAAAAAGGAAAGAGGGGAAAATCTCCTAGAAAAGAGGAAAGGGTTTCCGTAGTTCCTCTGTATATTTTTAGAAGAATGGCATCACTTCGCAGACTTGAATCTGGAGTCTGAGGGTTATAAACCACTTTCCTCAGTGTTTCCACTACATCTTTGCAGTCTGGCTGCTCTTCAGACACGGATTTCTAACTCTTATTGGGCATTTCTTAGCTGCAGCCAAATGAAATTGTTGGCTTTTTAAGGAACTTGCCTGTCTGGTGGGAAAAACATATCTATTTGTAAGGTGTCAAGAAAGAGATAATAAAATAGATCCATTTTCGCTAACACAATACTGTAATACTTCTCTAATCTGAGCCAATGCTATGACTCATCTGCCTGTCTCCTCTTGTGGGATGGAAAGGGAGCTGTCTGCAAACCTTGGGCAGGCAGCTGGGAGGAGGGGGTAGCTCTGACAAGCTAGAGTTGCTGCTCTGCTTCAGAAAGCCACAGGACTCTGGAACTGCTGTTTCTCTGGGCTGAAGTGGCCCTTGGTACTTCAGGGTGAGAGCTTGGCCAGACAGCTCCATTTTTAATAACTTGTCTCAAGGTGGATGCTGGCACCAAGGAAGCTTCTGCCCAGAGCCAAGGCAACCTCCGCGGGGCTCTAGGCAAGCTGGACAGTGGGGTCTGAACTGGCTTCTTATCCATCTGGCAGAACAAGGCACCAGAAGGCAGACTTTAAAGAGTGGGCTTTTCTTATTTCTTTCTGGCTAGCAAAAAGAAGTTTTATTGTCCCCGCCTTATTTCCAAAGCAATTCACATCACTGTAGAAAAATTGAAAAATACATGTAAACAATAAAAAAGAAAAAATTTAAATCCATTAATAATTTCATCAGTCGCAATATCTTAGCACATCTTTTGAAAAAAAAAATCCCCTCTTCGTGGAGTATAGTATTCTGCTTTTGTAACTTGCTTTTTCCTTTTAACAATATGTTGTGGATATCATTCCATCTCCTCTCTGACAATCTGATTTTTAAGGTCCTCACAGCATTCTATTGTATGGGTGTACAATAAGTATGTCAACGCTCCTCTTTTGTTGGACATATAAGTTGTTTCCAGTTTTCTGTTATAATAAAGAGCATCAGTGAACATTGTCCTATCTAAATCTTTGCACACATCTTTAATCACTGTGAACCTCCAGCAGCTTCATTGGGTCTTGGGAGAGAGAAACAAGACAGGAAATTGTAGCTAATGAAATCATTATAAATATCCTGAGACTTTAAGGTTATAAAGAATTTTTGTGGGTATGATCCCCCTCTCGGCAGAGGGTGGGTTATTTGAGTTCATTCTTGCACTTATCAAGCATTGACTAAGCCCTGAGGGGGTTCCTTTAGGTTAAGGAGAAAAGTGGAAAATTTCCTTCCACATTCTTATTGTGAGCAGTGTGTTCTCTGCACAGCCCCCTCCAAGTCCAGACACTTTGTGGGAGGCTGGCAAATCGGGCATCAGGCTGTTCTCCCAGGTTCTTAGCTTCTGCCCTCGTTGGCTGCCTACGGGACAGCTTCCTGAGCAGCTAATGCAGTTATTATAGTGACTCTGAAGCACTGACTCAGAGGGAGAGGGAAATGGAACCGGAGGGAGGAGAGAGGGAGAGAGAGAGACAGAGAGAGAGAGAAGAAAACTCCATGGTTCCGATCTCTTTTGTGATCTGGCTCGGATTCCTTTGTAAGCCTCTTAAACAGCAGCACCAGGATTAGAGGTTGAGCCCTGCTGGGGGCCTCCCTGATTGCATATGGTGTCTGGTCCCACTGTGGCCTTCACTCTGGGGCTGCAGGCTGGGGCTGCTGTATTGGAGCTGGTCTTACACGGATCCACATGGCTCCCATGTGGGCACCCTAAGTGACTGTTTTAGCTGTGCCCAGTGTTCCCATCTTGCTGGATTTGTACTCAGCTCTGTGGCATGGAAGGGGTCAATATTGTTCTTACCGGGGAGAAGAGGGCGTCACTGGAGTCCTTAAAGCATTTAGGACAATGGATGGGGCAATATTGCCCCAGTTTTTAAAAGGAAGAAAGGAGTGGATTCCAGGAATAACACTGGAGCATTTTTGTCCCTCTCTAGCAGAAAGTCTGGAGCAAGAAGGTTTATAAACATTGAAGTGTTAGGTGGATCTGGAGCTGGTTGAACAACCCTACCCAGGAAGCCTTGATTCGGGGTTCTTAGTTAATGTGGAGGGAGATCTCCAGGGGAGCAACACACAGAGCTCTGTCCTTAGCTCTGGTCTCTTTTATTTTATTTTTCAGTCAGTGGTATAGAAAGTAAAAATAACATAAAATCAAAAACAGAAAAGTATCAGTGACTTAGAGGATGGATTTG